TATTTTCTGTTACGATTTCCTTTCTGTTTAGAGAACCTCTTTAACCATTATTATGTGATAGGTCCACTGATGGTAGATTCACTTAGTTTTCCTCCATCTTATGATGTCTTGGTTTCCTCTTTATTCCTGAAAGATAATTTCACAGGATATAGAATTGTGGGTTGATTTTTGTTTGTTTGTTTGTTTTTTCAGCATTTGAAAAATGCTGTGCCCCTTCTTCTGGCCTAGATAATGCTTTTTGTTTTTTGTTTTATTTTCCCCATAAGAAATTCACTTCATTTGAATTGTATTAATATTTCTACAGGTAAGGGCTTGCTGCTTTCAAAATATTTTCCTTTGTCTCTAGTTGCCCAGTGTTTGAATATGACATGTGTTGTATGGATTTTCTTGAGTTTGTCTTAATTGAGGTTCACTCTTCTTGAATCTATAGGTTTATGTGGGGTTTTTTTGGTTTTGGGGGGGTTTTTTTTGAGAGTTTTTTTTCACTATAGAGCGCGTGCACTCGCCAGACAGACAGACAGAGAGACAGAAAGCGAGACATCACCCCCCAGGGGGGATGGCCACGCCGCAATCCCTTCTCCTCCATTCTCCTCTCGGGATCTTGGGCACGCACGCACATTTGCCCGGTGTGAATTTTAAGCCACCGGGTCCAGGACGTGAACCGCGGTCGACTACGTGGGAGTCCAGCGACATAGCCATTACGCTAACTGCTGGTTCCCTGTTCCCTGTCCTTTTAAAATTGTTTTTCTCTACATTCCTCTTCTCCTTTATCTCTCCCATACACATTGGTACTCATCCTTATTTTCCTCCATACTTATTTAATATTCAAATACATTAGGTCGTTGGGAAAGTCATGATGCATTTGATAGAAAAATGCATCATGACTTTCCCAACGACCCAATATTTACACAACTATATAGTCACATGCATGTGTAGGGATTTGAAGAGGCATTACTTTATTTTACACATATGGAATTGTGGTTTTCTGCATCTTGTTTCTGTTACTCATACTTGTGGAAATCTCTGTTAGTCAATTGTTCTGCTTCAGTGGCAATTTAATATTCCTCAATATGAATGCATCACTGATAATTATTCAGTCATTTCTCATTTTAAAAAGCATTTACTGGCCCAGATGCTGCAAAGCAGCAGG